ACAGCCAGGCAGAGCAGTGCCACACTTGTCACCTTCGAGTACCTTCCCTCATCTCTTCAGCTGGGGCTTCCCCCAGCACATCCCTCCTAGCGGAGTCTGTGCTACTCTGTGTCACTGTCTGCAGCACTGTCCCCTTATGCTTCAGAGGCCCCCATCCCTGCCCAGCTCCCGATACGGATTTTTCCAAGTCCAGACCATGCTCTGGCAACCAACCCTTCTGTTCCTTCTGTTTTCCAAAAAGACAAGCAAGAACTCGTATCTGTGCACAAAATGATAACATTTATTGAAAGAGTAATTTTTTTTTAATACAAAAGAAAGCTCTGTACATAGTACTGTGATTACTTCCACATCCTTCCAGAAACACAACCCTGGAAACTGGAAAAAATACCCCCCCACACACACACATACATTGATATGCACACACACTCACTCATGCACACACGCACACAATCCCCAAACCAGTAAAATGAACTAAAAATGTCACCACACAATAAATGTAATTTCGTCCCTGATAAACAAGTGTTCTTACAAGTCTGCACTTAAATAAAATACACCATTAGCGTTTAACCAGCAGTTGCTTTTTGGGAACCAAAGAGGACAGGTCGCCCAATGCCCCATAATAGCAGGGCTTTCCCTGCCGCCCTGGCCCAGCAGCTCCACTCCACTGTGCTAGCGAAAGCAAAGCAGAGCAAAGTAAGATCACCTCAATCTGCTGACACAAAGTATAGCACAAACTCCAACTCCCATTTTCTCCCTGGGCAAACTCCTAGCTCCCCCCCCCCCCCTTTTTATTTTTTTCCTCTCCCCTCTTCTTTGGAGGTGTCACTGAGCAGCTCAGAGCAGCCTGGGGCATCGCACAGAAGTCCTTGCTCCCCACTGCAGGGCACGCAGCACTGTCACGAGCAAGGCTACAAAAGGGAGGCAGCGCATGGTGTCACCATCACTGCTCAGGCCACCCTGGGCCTTTCAGAGGCCGCATGGCAGCCCAGAGCTTGCAGACCATTCTGGGAGCTGCCTTGGCACAGGACACTGAGAAAGGCCCTGTCCCTGTCTCTGCATCAAAGAGTGGCACCAGCAGGAGAGGTTCACCTGCATGAGGAGCACACAGGGAGCAGCCCCATGGAGCTCAGAGCGGAACAGGGGTGCCCACAGCCCCACAGGCAGCTGTGGCCAGCACTGCTGCAGGCCATACAGCCACGCTCACCAAGATGGGGACGGATGGGGCTGCCCGGCACCCCGCGAGCCCCTCACTCTAAAAGGAGCCACCTACCTGCTCGTGCTTCACTTGCCTCCCACCCAGTAATCCTGAATCCCAGGTTATGTCCGAGTCCTCAGCACAGGGAAGAGGAAAGCAAGCATCTGCCTCAGTCCCTGGCACGTGCTGGTGGGCAGAGCGCGCAGCTTAAACGCTAATGCTGAAGGAACATTATTCAAGGTTACAATACAAACTCAAAAACAAGGCCCCTTCCTGTCTCCACACCCGCCCACCCACCCTTGTCCCCTCCCAACAGTACAAACCCCATGAAAACTGTACAGGAGCCAAACTTTTATTCCTTAAAGAATTACATAAATACTGAGTTTAACACTTAGAAAAATAAAGTCATTTTTTTTCAAGGCTTCTTTTGTCTTTAACTTAAAAAAAGTTACAGTAGCTGCTCCTTCCCCTAAGGATTCAGCAGCTTCTCTCACTTGCTCACTCTCCCTCCAGGGACAGGGCTAGGTAGCAGAGCCACTTGCAGCAACTCCCCTGCCGGAGCAGGCACGCTCCAGCCCTCTTCCCCCAGCCCTGCCGTGCCGTGCTGTGCCTGCCCAGGTGTTGCAGCAGCCCCTCCATAGCCCGGGAAGGGCTGGGCCCCCCCAGTGCCCAGAGGGAGCACTGCCACCTGCCCGGTGGCTTGGTGCCCCATGGGCTCTTCGCTTTTGACACTTGTGTTGCTTCTCCACCTTATATCACACGGGAATTTAGGAAGCGCTGGCCAGAACTGCAGGGGGACGCGGGAGACGCTCGAATGCATCCTCCCCAGATATACGGAGACTGCACTGCTCGCAGTGTGGGCCGAGACAAGAGCGTGGGGCTGGGCTGGCTGCAGAGCGCACCGAAAGGGCTCTGGGGCATCCTGGTGGCACCGCTTCGGGCACCGCTTCGGCGGCGCGAAGGCGGCAGAGAGGGGTAGGCTGCACACCCGCCAGGCAGCCCGCCAAGGAGGCACCGAGGGCCAAGGCTCGCTGTAGTGCATACGAGGGGAACGAGGCCCCAGGCTGCAGGCAGCACCTGCCTGAGGAGTCCCCCACCTCTGTCCAGGGGGAGCGCGCGCGGGCTGAGCCCGACATGCACAGCGGGGCTGAGCGCCCCTTCCCAAACAAGCTGCTGCAGCCCGGACGTGTCACCCCTCCCAAAGGCACATTGCTGAGGCCTGCAGCACAGCCTTAGCCCATGCCGCTTTGGGCTGCAGCCTGCGGAACAGATATGGGCCTGAGGCAACTTGGAGCATCCCGAAGGATGCCAGAGCCTCCAAGTGGGAATGGCCCATGGGATTTATTTACAGCGCAGAGCACGCCCTCCTCATGAGGGACAAGTTTCTTTGGCTGGCATGAGAAAAGCGCAGCTATCGCAGCATCCAGATGCCCCCCAAGCCTGACCCCAGCACAGCTCCACCCTTGGTGTGGGTCCAGCAGCCCCACACATGTGGCCCATGTGTTTGGGGAGGGCTGGGGGGTGTGTGCATGCGTGTGTGTGTGTGTATGTGTGCATGTGTGGGTGAAGGAAACGTGAAAAGGCAACAATAAATAACTGGTGCAGTCTGTACGAGAAGGAATTGCTGCCAGCACCAGCGTTAACAGGCCAGGGACGGCGCAAGGCTGGCAGCAGAGGCCTCAGTCACTCTTGGTGCCATGTGAGGTGTCCAAATTGACCACCTGCAGCTCCGTCAGGCTGCTGCCACTGCTGCTCTGCTGCCCGATGACAGCCATCTAGGGAAGAGAAGGGAGGAAGGAGCACTGGGGCTGACATGCCCAACAGCCACGCACACGAGCAGCCAGGGTGGCACTGTCCCTCCCAGGTATCCCATTGAGGAGGGGGAAACTTCCATGCCCGGATGCGGGTGGGAGTCGGAAGCATTCCCAGGTCTCAGAGACCTGAGCACTCGCCCTACCCAGGCGCCCAGATCTGCTTGGATCTGCAAAGGATGTGCAGGCAGGGACGGAGCAGGGTCAACACTGCCCTGCGAGGGGGACAAGGACACCCTCCTCAGCACCCGCAAGCAGTGCTCTGCACCTACCTGATGAAGCTGCACAGCCGAGACCGGGATCTGAACGGTGCCCGAGGGAGCTGTCAGGAACACCTGGGGGACGCCACCTGCCAAAGACAGATCAAAAACAAGAGTTACGCTGTCCCCTAAGTAGTGCTCCCCTAGGGGTCCTTTCCTGAGCCTTTCCCCTGAGCTCTGTGAAGCTGCACAAGGAGGAAGGTGCCTGTTTGCATACACTAAGGCATTCCAGTTGAAAGCCACATGCGCCATTTTTCCAAACGCTGGGAGAAAGAGACTCAAGTCCCCAGTCCAAGTGTTACCTGCATGGCCTCATTATGCTTCATCACAAGACACAACTTCACGTCCTTTCCAGAACAGCCAGCAAGGTTGCTTGAAGTTCCTTCCACCCCCAGCCCTGTATCACACCCACCCACTCTGGCCACTCTCACATCTTCACCAGCAAACAGCTCAAGCAATCTCTTGCACAGGAGAATGGCAAGGGATCTAAAAGAACATCTCAAACATCACCAAGCCATCACCATCGCCAAGCCCTGCTAGGCCCGCTTTGCAGAAAACCCCTTGCAATAAACATGTAGCATTTGTATACATAGGGGAGCATCACTCCACACAGCTTACCCTGATCCTGGCTGTGGGACACCTGCATTGCTGAAGGTGCCTGTGAGAAAGCGTTGAGGACTGCCAGCCCACCATCCGCGAGGCCCGACGTGGGCGCGTACATCACCGCATGCGGGCTGGGGTACATCATGTGGCCACCCACGGTGGTTGGCACAGACGACGTCATGATGGTTGCTGGGAGGGTCACTGACACCAAGACACACATAAGCCACAGGAAAGGAGTGCTCCGCTCGCACACCCACTCAGCAGCTCCCCCTCAGGATGAGGGGAAGGAAAGGCACAGTAGCCAAATATCCCAGGATCTAATTCAAACCACGGTATGTGTCTCTTAACAAAAGCTTTGATAAAGCTGTTGAGTCGGGTTCAGACCACATCTGGGCACTTGAACTTGCACTTTGCTGACAGAACTGTCCCCTGCACTTAGTCTCGAGCAGACATGTCCCTAACACAAGGCTACTTTGGTTGGCCCTAAGAAACAGGGAAGCCATGGGAACTGGGCAGACTACAGCAACCTGTAGTAGTGTTCCCCAGATACACGCTGCAAGTAAGAGCAGGTGACAGATATGGAGAGCTTCCCCATATCAGGTGTCCTACCCACAGCAACATCTAGCTAGGCATAGCATCCCCGGGGCAACAGAAATACTGTGTGTCCAGGCACATTAATTTGGGGATAAACATCACCAAGAAAGCTGTCAGAAAGGTCAGCTAGAATTGGGCTGGGAAGAGGGGCGGGCAGGGAGCAGATAAAAGGTCAATGGTCACTGGAGGCTGCTATCAGCAGCAGTTGGGAAGGAAGGAGGTGATTGCAAAGCACTGATTACCTGTTCCGCTGGAAGAGGTCTGGGTAAGGTCAGTGCTGCTGTCACTGGAGGGGGACATCTGCTGCGGTGCCTGGTGCACCTGTATTGCCTGGACTGGGACCTGCTGAGCCATCGTGCCACCTGGGGAGAGAAAGCAGCCCTTGAGCCTGCATACCAAGGCAGGTGCTCTGGGCCTGTGCATGGGATGCAGAGTCACCCCTTTACACCCCCCCAGTCCCAATCAGGCCACACAGAGCCCTGTAGCCTGCACTGGCAAAGGGTAGCCAAGGGCAGCACGTGGCAGAAACAAGGCCCGTCCCCAAAAACCTGCTCTTTGCTGGGACACAGCAGCCAAGGAGGGGCTGGCTGCCCTGCAGGACTCTTCCCTGGAAAGGTCACTGCAGTGCTTGGTCAACTCCCAGGAACAATTCAGGGATATATGGGACCTCCTCACCTTTGCCAGACTCACCAGGGCACAGCACAGACCCTGGCATGCCAGAAGGAGAGGAGTGGCATGGGGCTCCAGCACCAAGCAGAACAGAACTTTGCTGTTAGCCAGCAAAGATCGGGCAGGAGCGTCACAAAAACTGCGACAGCACAAACGCACAGGCCAGCAAGGCCCTACAACCTCCACACTCAGGTTCTGTCTCCAGAGAAAACAAGGGACGCGAGAGAGCAGAGACAAGGGCACCTCACTCAGGCTGGGCATCTGCCCACACACCAAGCCAGAGACACACAGTCGTGATCCTCACAGCTCCCAAGGATTGCAATGGAAACGCAGCCCCTCTTGTGCAGGGCCACACTGCCCACCTGCTTCCTGAAGGACTTCAGGAAAGCCCACAGGCCAGCAGACTCGTCGCCTCAGGCAAGAACAGGCAGGACATGGGAAAGTGTCTCATGGCACCCACGTCACAGCTTCTCCCACAAAGGGGAGCCTAGCAATGTGCTCTAAATCTGAAACTGGGAATACACGGAGCCCTAGCATCTGGATGGCCCCGCCTTGGCACGACAAGGAATTCCTTCAGAGCAAAATGCACACAAGACAGCATGATGACACCTTCCCTTCCAGCACTCTGGGTCTCTCCTAAGCCACCTCCTGCACTGTGGTTCATCAACTGACAACAAATCTGTGTCCGACAACAAGGGCAGCTGCTCAGAGCCAAATGCCCTCACACAACCAATATTCCGAGAGCATCTGAGCCCCCATGGGCTCCCTCCATCACTTCTCCCAGCAGCACAGCTCAACTGATGGTATGACTCCACCAGCAAGCACATCTCCTTGACTTTCAGACCCAGGGTAAAATCTGGAGGCAGAAGATGGACAACCTGCTGCTCCCTTTCATCTGCATCCTCTAGAAAGCTGCTCCTGCCTTCCCAGCTCTCCCTCTAGCCCACAGCCAGGGACCCCTTGCGCTCTCCTCCATAGTTCTGTCTCTGCTGGGATCAGCTCTCTAGCCGGGGCCTGGCACCCTCCCCAGGGGCACCTCCATACCCCCACCTTAAGCAAGGGGATGAGAAGCGAGTGCTGACCTGTCAGCGACACGATCTGCCCTCCAGCTCTGGCGGGGAAGCGGAAGACTGTCTGCTGTGCCTGCTGCAGCTGTCCAGCCGTACCCGCAACTGCCTGGCCCTGCTGCTGGCTGGAAAGAGCCAGGGAGTGCGGCTGTAACTGAGTGAGAGGAATGGTAGGGGTCCCTGGAGGAAGGGAAGCACCTGCCGAAAGGAGGGAGAAAGAAAGGCTTTGTCACCAGCAGCTCTTTTCACTCTCTCCCGGCTCCTTGGTGCTGTTCTGCGACCCCAGCTCAGCTCCCTGCCATCATGCCATTCCCAGCAACAGGGCCAGCTAACAGTGCCCTGGGGGAAACAATCCCTACACATTCATTTTCCAGCCTCTGGCTCGGCTGGGCTCAAGCAAGAGAGCCCAGCTTTGCTCTACGGCAGCAGCCACTCTACCTCCACCAGCCAGTCGGTCTCCTCTCCTGGGAAGCGCAGCAACGCGCTCTGGGCAACGCGATAGATGGACACAGTCCTCAGCCCTGAGGCCCACTGACCTGACATGAGGGTGAAGCCAGTTGGTATCTGCATGAGGCCCCCTGATGTCACTGCGCTGGCTCCGGTAGTCTTCAGCACTGTTCCATTGGCACTGGTGACAGCATTGGGGCTGAGGCTGGCAGACACAGGCGCCAGGTAATTAGTGATGGGAAACGAGGGGCCACTGCTGACCTGCATGGAGGTCGATGTGGTTGGAGCTGTCTGGATGGTGGACGTCGTCCCTGGCAGGTTGGTGACTGTGAATGCTGGCTTCAGCGTGTCCTATGGGGTGAGACAAGATGGTGAGAACTCAGCCCAGGCCCTTGGTCCACTCAACAGCTGCCCACATGGCCAAGCTAGACTCTGTAGGTAGAAATTCTTTCCCAAACCACACACATAGCCCGCTTCAAGCACACAGAGCAGATAGGAGTCTCTTGAGCAAACATGAGGAGACTGTGCCCAATAACACAAGCATCAGTAGAGCTGGAGACAGCTCAGTGTCAACCTTGGATGCAAGCCCAGGCCTGCACGGGTCCCCTGAGAAACCTCCTTGCAAGATATCACAGAACAACCCAAGAGCAACCCTTTCGCTCCCCAGCACCCAGGAGTCCCCTTGCACTGTCAGAAGGAACAACTGCTTTTTGGCCCCAAGAAGGCAAGAGCAATCCTTGCAGGAAAAGGCTCAAAGGCAAACACATGGGCTCCTGTCAGGAAAACACAGCCACTTCTCTTAGAGCAGGAAACACATGGCTAAAAGCAAACCAAGAACTGTCTCTTCAGGGCAGCAGTGAGCTGCACATGGAAAGGGACTGAGCCCAATCCCAAGCACCAGGGACACCAGCAAGGCCCAAAATGCAGCCTTGACTCCTGCTTTAGCAGGCTCCAGGCAGTGCCTCCCAACAGCTCCAGGAGTTAAGGAGAAGGCAGAACATGGACAAGAGCAAGCACTCGGCCCACCAGCAGGACACAGGCATGATGCAAGTGCTTCCACGGGATCCCACACATTAGTTACAGCCAGCTATCGCCCCACACAGTCACACTGCAGCTAACGTGCCTGCTTCCTCCACACTCTGTCTTGAATATTCAGGGTCCGCTGAGCCCCTGTCCCATCCCGCTCAGCTAGCCTGGATTGCCAAGACCTTGCTCCACCATCCATCGCAGGAGCACGGACCACAAGGACCGTCTGTCCCCACGCCTCGGCACAGCCACCAGCAAGCCTGGGAAGGGTTAAGGCCACCGTGCTCCCACCCCTACCCGCTGCAGACTGGTGGGCCCATCTCTCCCACGTGCTACGCCTTGTTCCCAGCTTGTCAAGCTGCCAGGAACGAGGAATTCACAGCTCAACGAACAGCTAAAAAAGGGAAGGCAGCCCATTTTGGACAGGGAGAGCCAATCCTGGGCACCCAGCCCTGCCCCAGGGAAGGAGGAGAGCAGAGCCCCTCCACCTTGGCACCACAGTCCCCACAGTCTGAATTAGAAAAGGCACATGATAAAGGAGCAGGGCTAGGCAGATGCACTTTCCATGAGCTCAACTGCACCCTCCCACTATCCCATACAGGACACAGAGGCTGTGGGAATCCTCCCCACCCAGGTGACAGGGTACCTAAGGCAGGACACACGTTGCCAGCTGGGAAGGCCAGGCAACCTCATCTCCACACTCTGCCCCGCAGCGGAGCGCCCTGCGACAGAATCCCCAGTCAGTCATGGCTCCCAGTGTCCCCTCGACACAACATCCTCCCAGGGAGGAAAGAGGCATCCCAAAAGATCCATGGAGATCCACCTACTTGGTGCATCACCAGGACTCCCTGCAGACACGATGGCAAACCCTAGCAGGGTCATGAAAGCAGAGCTGCTCAGGCAGAAAGCTTCAACAACTGCCCACTCCACACTGCCGCAGGTTCCTCCCACCTCTGCCGAGTCCCTCTTGGGCTGCACTGACAGCTCTCAGTACAGAAGGGGATGCAGATCAACCCACGGGCTCAAGACCCCATTGCCTCCCCCCCGCAGCCAGTCTGGGGCACGAGGAGCCCTGAACACCAAGCCAAGCTCCCCACCAGTTTTTGAAGACTAGGCCACATGCACAAAGGCAGCTGTCAACAGGATCTAGGCCTCTGCACCAAGACCACGGGACACTCCCAGCTGGGATCACCCAGAGATCCACAGGCAATCCTGAGGCAGCAGAGCAACCGTGAAGGCCCTCCCCTTGCCGAGCCATCTGCACATCAACCCACCCCACTCCAGAGCTCACTGCAAGCTCTGGTTTGCAGACCAAGGCCAAGGAGGGATGCAATGCAACCAGGGGAGATGTCTATATCTGTCCCACAGACCCACTGCACCACAAATGCTCATGGAAGGGACCAGAGGGCACAGCCCAGGCCCTGCAGCAGGGCCCCAGGCAGGTCCTCTCTCCATAAGCAGGGTGATCCTGCTCAAGCACCGTGGCTCCCAAGGGCTGCCTGGGATGATACCGATCAGCATGGCCCAGACCCACCAGCCAACATCATTACCTGGGCTCTACCTCCTGCCTCGTGCTGCAGGAAGCCCCACCTCCCTGCCATCCCAAACAGATCACCAGAGCAGGGCTTTTACTCCAGTCCTGAGCTCTTGAGCTCTCTCCAAAATCCCCTCGCAAATATAGCGGTGTTAAGGGATCGCTTGTGGTGCTGCTTCCTTTGGGCACTTCAAAAGACACAGGGGTCAGAGCCCAACATCTCTGCTATCAGGGCATAGCTGCTCTTTGTAGCACAGCATCACCCAGCTGCAACACCTGCAGTCCAGATGATTAATTCCCTGCCACCTTGTCAAACACAGCACCCATAGCCTTGCCCCACATCCCATTTGCCCCTCAAGAGGGATATAAGCTGCCCAGCAGTCTGCCCACAGGCTCCTTCTGTCCTTACAGGGCTTTTTGGTCTGTCTCAACGGGGCTGATGTCCATGGGAACACCAAGCCAGGCTCCTAGCCTCACAGCAACCACAGGGCTCTTCCAGCCCCACACCAAGTGCTGGCCACATCCCCAAGGTGTGATCACACATGCCACAGCAGGTCCCACACAGCCCACAGGTCCAGAGAGGGAGCCCAGAGGGCATCAAGCAGGGCCTGTCTCAGAAAGCAGCTGGAGAGCAGCCATGCCCACAAGATCTCCTGTGCAGACGAGCTGCCCCAAGAGCACCTTTCCTTGGGGGTCAATTGGCAACGCTGCCAGGGAGGTTTTAAGAGCCAGCTTGCAGACCAACCACGCCAGGGACAGGCCAGCTTCTGTAGCAAGCCCTTCCCGCACCTCCAGGTTACACCCAGCACACAGAACGTGCCTCATCACAAGATGCACAGAGGGCTCATTTGCCTTTCCTTCCAGAGAAGTCCATAGCCCCAAGTGCTTACGAACAAGAGCTGCCACCGATTGCAGATGCACATGGCAGCATCTCTGCAGCACCAAAAACAACACCCAGGGGTACGTTTAGCATACTGGCAGCACAGGGAATCAAACACTTTGCTTCAGGTTTAGGGGCCACTGCATGGCAAAGGTGCTGCTGTGCCTACATGGAGCACAATGCCAACCAGAGGAACTGCAGCTCACAGGACAGTTCCTCTGCAAAAAGTCCAATACCCAGCCCATGAGCACCAGTCCAGCAGAGCTGCAGCGACTCGCAGCACCCCAGCTGCATCCCACCCAGCACCCAGCTCATTCCAGCCTTGTTGTGCCAGCACCCACAGACCAAAGCACCAGGCTGCAAAGTGCGGACAAGGCAGACAGATTTGCCATAGGACCAGTACATGTGGATGCAAGGACACCCAAAACCCTTGTACCAAGGCATGACAGCTATTATCCCAAGCCAAAAGGGGCCAGTGGCCAGCTCAGCACCAGCAGGCACCTCCACAGCATCCAGGGCAAAGGCCCACAAGTGACATGGCCAGGCAAGAGTCGGCGCCTGCAGGGACATCAGGCAGGGAGCAGAAATGTTCCGTCCAGCCAAATGTTTCCATTCCCCATGTCCTCCCTGCCCCCTTCCAAAACAGCACCAAAGCAAGAGACAGCTGCAGCTTATAAGGAATGTGAGGGGCCCTGCCAGGGACTCTGCTGAGGGAAACCAGGCCTTATAAGGCCATGGAGGCAGAATCAAATTTTTATCAATGAGTGCAAGAGCATGGAGACGCCCAGGCAGAGATAACGGCGCCGGGAGCTGCCCAGGGGGCGGGCTGCAGGGGAGCCCTGCTGCAAAAGCCACCTGCCACCCACCTCCCTGCCTCCCTGGATCACTGCCAGGCGAGTCCAGGAGCCAGCCCCAGGAGGACACAGCAAGCTCTCTGAAGTTGCAGCTGAATAGGAGCTCGATCCTTGGTCTTCCAAGGTCTGGAGATTTCAGGGCTCTCAGCTGCGGCCCGCAGCACCCCAGGGTGCCCGGCCACGCTCCTGGGTGCAGGACCGTTACCTTGGTCTCCCCACTGCTGTCTGACTCCGACACCTGGTAGGTGAGGTCCGTCTCCTCAAAGCCTGTGGCGCTCATGCGTTGGTCGGTAGTGGGATCTGAGCGCGGCGGTGAGTCCGGGGAGTTGAGACACGTCTGAATCAGTGCTTTCCCTGTCTCACTGGTGATCATGGGCTGCAGCTTCCGTGTGGCAAAGGTGTACACATGGCCCGTCTCGCTGGCCACCAGCAGCAGCACTTGGGTGCCCGTCAGCGTGGAAAGCTCATAGGCCTGTCAGAGCACAAGGAGGGAACCAGGAGTCACGGAGAGCTGGGACACATAGGCCCACAAGACATGAGATCCCAACACACCACCGTACTCCTGGTAGTGCCCACGCCAGCTCTGGTCCCCCAGTTGCCACCCAGGAAAGCGTCATGCCCTGCAGGTTGATGGAACTCATAGTGAGTTCCCAGCACCCTTAGCACACCCTCGGAGGAGGTGTATGCCAAGGGATTGCAGGAAGAGCCTCCTCCAGCTACTCCCAGGAGGGCAGAGGCTGCTCCGATCCCGAGCATCCCACCCGCTCCCCAGGCGCATCCAGAGACCCCCTGCTCGTATCTCTGCGTGGACGGGACGCTGTTGCAGCGCGCGCTGCCCGGCCCGGCAGGAGCAGCGGCACGGGGCTCCCGCGGGCCTGCAGAGCTGCCCCGCGCCCGGCCGGGGCGCAGTCCCGCCTGGCAGGAACGCGGCCCCACACGAGGATGCCCCCAGGAGC